ACACATCATAAAACAATCATACAGTCAGATAATAAAAATGATTAAAATGAGTCAACATCTCAGATGGTGTCAAAGGTCAGGGAGAAGAGATGGGTTTTAAGAAAGGATTTAAAAACAGACAGGGAAGAGGCCTATTTATGTTCAAGTGAAGGTCATTCCACAGTTTAGGAGCTGCCACAGCAAAAGCACGGTATATGTACTGTACAGTAGCTACTGTAAAATTTTATATGGGTACACACTCACCAGCCTCGGTCCGGTTCTGGTCCGGTTCTGATCGGTCCTCTGCATCCACTGAGCACTGAAGTCACTATGAATAAGGACCGAACTTTTTAGTCAGGTTCAGATCGGATCAAAACTTTCCATCCATTTTGGCAGAAAGCACTGTTGGCTTCTGGGTAGTGTAGTTATTTTGGACTGGTAATGCAGTATAGGCTTATTGAAAGAAAACTACAAAATGGCAGCACCTGTCCAAAGTTGTTTTTTTTTTACCTTTTATCTGTACCATCCCAATCCTATGAGTAATATTAAAGTTGACAATTGTTGAAAAACTGTGAAAGAGCTAGTCCGAGAAAACTGAACCGTGAAGTAGCGAGGGACTACTGTATATTGCTTGTTCTTTTAAGCGCCATGAAACCAGGCGCTTCTTTCATATGCTGCTTCTGCTGCTTAGGCATTAATTTTCTTTTTGCTGTTAAATAATAGTACTATACAGTTTTAATAATAATAACACATTCAAACATTTAAACATGTCACCAAAACAGCAATGGCTTTGTTTGGACCCATTCGAGTATGGCAAGCCACAGGATGGAGGGGTGACTCATAACCTGAACAGATGTGCTAACGCTCAATCAGAACTAGCTTTTTGGATGAGGTGAACCATCTTTGAAAAATCAGAGAAGTCCAGTTTCCAATTTTTTAACCACTTCCTGTGGGACTATTATGCTCTGGAGGTCTGAAAACCTACACCAGTGATTTACACAAACATGTAGCTCCATGCAGAAGATGCACACTGTGCTCAGGTTTTATTAAGTGTACATGCTAAGTGATAAATTCTGTCAGTTAAAGTCAAGCAAAAGATTATGTTTTTGTGTATTCAAAACACTTATAGAAATTACGTGAAACACTCATTATTAACCCTTGACTGGTTTTCTCTCCAGACTTTCCTGAAATATAATAAAACTTTTCACAAATTGTTTCCTGATATTCCAGAGGGGGACAGGCTGACACACGGTGAGTTCAAGGCTTCTGTTACTCAATTTTCACATCCTGCTTTTGTTTATAATCCCAGCTGTTTATTCATTTATTTACTGGCTTCATCGGCCAAGTGGTCTGCAATAAAAGCTGACCTTAACATCTCCGTCTTGCATGTGTGTGTGTTACTGTTACAGTATTCACCTGCTCCCTACAGAGAGAAGTACTCTATCATGGAAAACTCTTTGTGTCTGAGTACCACCTGTGTTTCTACTCGTCTGTTCTGCTCAAAGAGACTAGGGTAACACATTTAGAGGCAGGAGGATGAACCACATCGCAAGAGGATCCTGTCTAAGGAATAAATTAAAATAACCAGACCCTTCAACTGTTTGCAGGTGGTGATTCCTGTTTCCAGTGTGAGGGTGATCAAGAAACATAACTCAGCTCTATCCATCCTGTCTATTACAACTGCCAGTGGAGAGAAGGTCAGACAAGTTTTGGAATGCAACTAGTCTCTTATCTCATACAGAACACTTTGGACTCTGCAGATATGCAGACACCTGCTAAAACTGAGATATACAGTATGATAGAGAGTCCAGCCTTATTCTTAAACTAAAGGTAATTTAGTAACTAGAATGGGCTCGGAGCAAAACTAAATATGATGTCATCCAACTGTAATGTCTAATAATCAGTACATAAAAGCTCTGATGTTTAATGCTTTTGGTCCACTTTGCCAATGTTTTACTCCTTTTTATTGGACCGCTGAATAAGGTTAGAAGTTAATTTCTGACATTAGAAGAATTTCGTCTTGATGTGAATTCCTCCATTTGTAACATCCATCCATCCATCCATCCATCCATCCATCCATTTTCTTTCGCTTATCCGGGGTCAGGTCACGGGGGTAGCAGCCTAAGTAGGGAGGCCCAGACTTCCCTCTCCCCAGCCACTTGGGCAAGCTCCTCTGGGGAAATCCCGAGGCGTTCCCAGGCCAGCCGAGAAACATAGTCCCTCCAGCATGTCCTGGGTCTTCCTCTGGGTCTCTTCCTGGTGAGAAATACCTGGAACACCTCGCCAGGGAGGCATACAGGAGGCATCCTAAACAGATGCCCGAGCCACCTCAACTGGCTCCTCTCGATGTGGAGAAGCAGCGGCTCTACTCTAACTCCCTCCCGGATGATTGAGCTTCTCACTCTGTCTCTAAGGGAGAGCCCAGACAACCTGCGGAGAAAACTCATTTCGGCCTCCTGTATCCATGATCTTGTTCTTTCGATCACAATCCAAAGCTCATGACCATAGATGAGGGTAGGAACGTAGATCGACCAGTAAATTGAGAGCTTCACCTTTTGACTCATCTCTCGCTTCACCACGACAGACCGGTACCGCGCCCATTTCACTGCCAACGCTGCACCTATCTGCCTATCGATCTCACGCTCCATTTTTCCCTCATTCGTGAACAAGACCACGAGATACTTAAACTCCTCCACTTAGGGCAGGACCTCCTCCCCGACCCGGAGAGGGCACTCTACCCTTTTCCGACTCAAGACCATGGCCTCGGATTTGGAGGAACTGATCCTCATCCCAGCTGCGTCACACTCGGCTGCAAACCGCTCCAGCGTAAGCTGTAGATCACGACCTGATGAAGCCAATAGGACCACATCATCTGCAAAAAACAGAAAAGCGATTCTAAGGTCACCAAAATGGATCCCCTCAACATCTTAGCTGTGCCTAGAAATTCTGTCCATAAAAGTTATGAACAAGGAAAGGGAGTTTTTCCTTTCCACTGTTGTCATTGTGCTTGCTCAGTATGGGAGACTGCAACAAAGCCAAGATTCAACTTGTCTGCTGGCCTCCTTAGATAGAGAACTTTACTAATGGGCTTTTATGTATGTGAATGTTCCTGTAAAGTGCCCTGAGACAACTTTGTTGTGATTTGGCGCTATATAAATAAACTGGATTGAATTTAATTGAATTGAACAGAATTGGTGACAAAGGTCAACCTTGACTGAGTCCAACTCTTACTGGGAATGAACCCCACTTACTGCCGACAATGTGGACCAAGCTCTGACACCGGTCGTACAGGGACCTAACAGCCTGTATCAAAGAGCCTGGTACCCCATACTCCCGGAGTACCCCCCACAGGGCTTCCCCAAGGACGCGGTCGAACGCCTTCTCCAAGTCCACAAAGCAGATGTAAACTGGTTGGGCAAACTCCCACGCATCCTCCAGGGCCCTGCTGAGGGTGTAAAGCTGGTCCAGTATTCCACGACCAGGATGAAAACTGCACTGCTCCTCCTGAATCCGAGGTTCGACTATCCGATGGACCCTCCTCTCCAGAACCCCTGAATAGACCTTACCTGGGAGGCTTAAGAGTGTGATCCCCCTGTAGTTGGAACACACTCTGCGGTCCCCCTTTTTGAATAGGGGACCACCACCCCAGTCTGCCAATCCAGGGGAACTGCCCCCGATGTTCACGCAATATTGCAAAGTCGCGTAAGCCAACACAACCCCACAACATCCAGAGATTTAAGGAACTCCGGGCGACTCTCATCCACCCCTGGGGCCCTACCACCGAGGAGCTTTTTAACCACCTCGGTGACCTCAGCACCAGAGATTGGAGAGCCCGACCCAAAGTCCCCAGGCTCTGCTTCCTCAGTGGAAGACGGGCCAGTGAGATTGAGGAGGTCTTCAAAGTATTATGCCCACCGACCCACGACATCCCGAGTTGAGGTCAGCAGCACACCACCTCCACTATAAATAGTGTTGGTGGCATACCGCTTTCCACCCCGAGACGCCGGATGGTGGACCGGAATTAGGGGTTGAACAACTACATAAATTTAAAACACGGCATAAACATAACAAAACTAGAGTAGAACTCGCGTACTTGATGACATCATAGGATCTAAAGATACAAAAATAAATAAATAAATAAAACCGCAATAAAGGTCATTAGTTACAAAAAAAGACCAACAAAACATTGGGAGCACATATTATGTTCCTACCATTTATCATACTGCAAATAAGTCACAGGAAAAACTAAACTATTAGTTATTATTATTAAGCTGCAAAATTGAAAGAAACATGCAGCACGTCAAAAACGAAACAAAAAATAGTGGGGCGGATGACCAACCCACACCACCGCCAGCTGTGGTGCGCATTAGGTTTAGTTTTAGAGCTTCATATGTTTATAGGTTTTTTAAATAGGTTTAGAGATTCATATTTTTTGCATTTTGTTTGTGAAACAAGGTCAGAGGAAGCTGGTTCTGGTTCGGTCAATTGGACCCGGTGTTACACCATATTCTGTGACCTGCAACAGTGCATGCAACACCACCCCCTACGGTCACACTATGCGGTGGTCACATAATATGGTGTAGCACCAGTTTGCATCGAGCTATAAACAGTCAGGAAGTTGATTCATTTTCTGTTTCCTTATGGTAGTTGAACCAGAAGATTCAAATTAGTGAAATATTTCCATACTATTGATGCATTTCTACCTGTTTGCCAAGACTGGACCTGCTCCGCTCCATTTATCTGCTTGGAGGAATCCATTTTGTAACCCGTGCCCGGTGCGGATCACGTGACATATGACGCAATGACATAACGGTGACGTAATGACGTCACCATGAATACTCAACGTGAAATTAAAAAACTCAATAGATGTCCTAGGAATCAATGTGTAGATTACTCGAGTAGTCTGTTAAAGCCCTAACCAGAATCACCTCGAAGTCAAAAGGAAGTAATTCTCCATGGCATTTCCGAACTCCTCCCAAGCCCAAATTTTTGCTTCAGCGACCACCCGGACCGCATGCTGCTTGGACTGCCGGTACCCTTCAGCTGCTTCCGGGGTCCCACAGACTAAATAGGCCCGATAGGATTCCTTCTTCAGCCTGACAGCATCCCTCACTGCCGGTGTCCACCACCGGCTAGGAGGGCTACCACCGCAACAGGCACCAACAACCTTGCAGCCACAGCTCCGATAAGCCGCCTCAACAGGAACATGGCCCACTTGGACTCAATGTCCCCCACCTCCCCCGGAACGTGTTCGAAGCACTCCCGGAGGTGGGAGTTAAAGCTCCGTCTCAGAGGAGACTCTGCCAGACATTCCCAGCAGACCCTCACAATACGTTTGGGCCTGCCAGGTCTGATCGGCATCCTTCCCCACCATCAGAGCCAACTTACTACCAGGTAGTGGTCAGTGGACAGCTCCGCCCCCTCTTCACCCGAGTGTCCAAGACATGTGGCCATAGAGCAGATGAGATGACAACAAAGTCAATCATTGAACTGTGGCCTAGGGTGTCCTGGTGCCAAGAGCACATATGGACACCCTTATGCTTGAACATGGTGTTTGTTATGGACAATCCATGACGAGCACAGAAGTCCAATAAAAGAACACCACTCGGGTTCAGATCAGGTGGGCCGTTCCTCCCAACCACACCCCTCCAGGTCTCACCGTCATTGCCCACGTGAGCGTTGAAGTCACCCAGCAGAACAAGGGAGTCCCCAGGAGGCGCACTCTCCAGTACCCCCTCCAAGGACTCTAAAAAGGGTGGGTAACCTGAGCTGCTATTTGGTGCATAAGCACAAACAACAGTCAGAACCTGTCCCCCCACACATAGGCAGAGAGAGGCTACTCTCTCATTCACCGGGGTGATCCCCAACGTACAGGCACCAAGATGGGGGGCAACAAGTATGCCCACTCCTTCTCGGCGCCTCTCACCAGGGTGGAAGAGTGTCCATCCGCTCTCAAGGAAACTGGTTACAGAGCCAGAGCCATGCGTAGAGGTGAGTCCGACTATTTCTAGCTGGAACCTCTCAACCTCACACACCAGCTCAGGCTCCTTCCCCACCAGAGAGGTGACATTCCATGTCCCAATTGCCAGCTTCTGTAGCTGAGGATCAGACCGCCAGGTTCCCTGCCCTCGACCACCACATTGCACCCAACCCCTTTGGCCCCTCCCACTGGTGGTGAGCCCATGGGAAGGGGAATCCATGTCTCCTCTTCGGGCTGTGCCCAGCCGGGCTCCATGGGTAAAAGCCCAGCCACCAGCACTCGCCAGCGTGCACCACCTTGAGGCCCGGCTCCAGAGTGGGGTCCCGGAGACCCACGACTGGGCGAGGGAACACTGTTTCCATCCATCTTTTTCATCATAAGGGGTCTCTAGGCTGCACTTTGTCTGGTCCCTCACCTAGGACTTGTCTGCCTTGGGTGACCCTACTAGGGGCATGAAGCCCCTGGCAGCATAGCTCCTAGGATCATTGGGACACTCAAACCCTTCTACTTTGGTAAGGTGGCAGCCCAGGGAGGGGCTAAGTAATAACCAATCAATAAAATGTTAACACAAGAACTAGATGATAATTAGTGGAAGCTATTATGACAAAAAAATATTTGCAGAGTGGTGAAGGCTGCATAGAAGACTGTTGGAGTCAGTCTCCCCACATCACAGACATTTACACCTCCAGATGCAGGAAGAGGGCCACCTGCATCATGAAGGACCCCACTCACCCAGCACACACACTTTTTGACCCGCTCCTCTCAGGAAGGAGGTAAAGGAGCATTAAGTGTAGAACCACTAGACTGAGGAACAGCTTCTACCCTGAGGCTGTTAGACTTATGAATCTCTAACCAGGATAATCACTGTGAAAAATCACATCATGTTGCTGCTGATCTGTTTCATATTGATGTGTTCATGTGTGCTCATCTGCTCACACAGACTCAAGCTAATGCTCGTGCTGCTGTTCGCTGTAATGTTTTTATGCTATTAGTGCTTAGTGTATTTTTAGTTGATGTTTTTTTTAGTTCATATCTTAGATGTTATTGTTTTTCTTTTACTTTTTTATTGGTGGATGTAACTGGGACCCTGTGTACATAATTTCATCCCACCACATGTACCACATGTGGTACATGTGGTGGGATGAAGAAAGAATCTCTGACTCTGACTAAATTGATTTTCTTGCTGCAGAGCAAATATTGAGTTTGTGTTGTTCAAAAATAAACCCCATTTTTCTCCCTTTCAGCATTCATTTGTTTCTTTGAGGGACTTAAAGTTTCGTTACAAACTCCTTCAAAGGATTTGTTCACAATCTCAGGTACTATAAGGTTTTATTTTTACTGCAAAGCAGACTCATATCAGCTAAAAACAAACTGATATTTGTGTTTAAACCAGGAGGAAAGTGGAAACAGCAGCCCTCAGCTCTCCCCTGCAGAGACGGATGCCGTGCGTGGCAGGGTGAGTTTTCTGTTCACAAAATATGTGATAAAACAAAAACACCCACATACAAGGAGGAACCGTGTTCTGCATCTTTTCTATGTTTGTCTGCAGATTTCCAGTTCATCTAGTTTAGAGGGCAGTATGGAGCAGGACCCCAGCAGCGTCGATCTGGACAACAACTTTCTTCAGATGGTCGGTGAAGGTAGGACAGCTTTGTTAAGGAATTCATCACTTTGCTGAAGTAGCTTCTAAATATGACAACATATAAACAACACGTTTGTGCTTTTACAGCTTCCAGAACACACAGTTCCCATCATCAGAGCAACTTACCAAATGAAGACCACAGAGGTGTGTGAACACATGACTGATCTATGTGAACACATGACTGATCCATCTGAACACATGACTGA